TATATATATATATATATATATATATATGTATATATATATGTATATATATATATATATATATATATATATAATATAATAATAATATTATTTTATATTATAGTTGCGGTGTATAGTCTCCTTTAAGGAGACAGAAAGAGACACGAAGCAGCAGACGCAGAACCAGGTTGCTGCTGCTGCTGCTCAGCCATCTGCTGCACTGCTGCAGTGTACATACACCGCAGGTGTATGCGGCGTTTGACAAGAGGAATAACATCACGCAGCAACAAGCAGCAACTGCAGCAGCAGCAGCAGCTGCTGCTGCTGCTGCTGTGTGCAGCAGCACCACCCGGTGCACCCGCAGCAACAGGAGCTGAGCTCCCGTTGCTGCTGCAACTGCAGCAGTCAGGTGCCCACCAGCAACTACTGCCACTGCTCCTGCTGCTGCTGCTGCTGCTGCTGCTGCTGCTGTTGCTGCTGCTGCTGCTGCTGCAGCTACTTGGGTTTCGTGTTGGGGGCTGCTAGCAGCAGCGGGATGTGGGGCCCCAGCCGCTGCGTGATTTTCTCGTGGGCGGCGAGGCGTCTCCTGCTGAATTCGAGCAGTGCTGTGAAGAAAGCAATGCTGCTGCTGCTGCTGCTGCTGCTGCTGTCTATCTCTGCTGCTGCTGCTGCTGCAGCTGCAGCACCCGCTGCAGCTGCAGTTGATGCTGCTCCTAGACTTGACCGCCGCCGCTCCTGCTGCTGCTGCTGCTGCTGCTGCTGCTGCTGCTGCTGCGGGGAAGTGTGCGGGCTAGAGTCGCCTGCAGCACCAGCTAAGACACTCTCTCCTCTGCTTGGTGAGCGCTGCAGCACCACAGAGAGGGGCCCGCTGCTGTTGACTTTGTGTTTCCGCTGCTGCTGCTGCTGCTGCAGCTTCTGCCGGCTGTGCTGCTGCTGCTGCTGCCGGGATAGTCGAGCCAGCAGCGCAACGAACTGCCGCGTTGTCTCCTCGTGCTGCAGCACCACGTTCCCCCCCACAAGGCTGAGCAGCAACACAACAAAAATATCTAATTGCTGCTTCATTCTCCTGCGTTTGCTGCTAATGCCCTGCTGCTACTGCTGCTGCTGCTGCTGCTGCTGCTGCTGCTGTGTATCTTACCTGTTGATGATCGATGCCCCCAGAGTTGCTGCGCGCTGCAGCGTGGTGTCTATCAGCTGCTGCAGCCCCTCTAGGGTCAGCAGCGGAGGCAGCAGGCCATCCAGTTCTCTGTCGCAGCAGCAGCACTCTTCTTCTGCTGCAGCAGCAGCAGCAGCAGAGGTGCAGCAAGTGCTTCCTTGAGACACTGCAGAGAACGCGGCTGCTGCAGCTGCTGCTGCATCAGCACTTTGACCCGCATTCATCATGCTGCTGCTGCAGCAGCAGCAACAGCAAGGGTTCTCTCGCACCCGAAGCCGGCCGTAGACTGCTGCTGCTGCCTGGGACCGACGCCTCAACGATGGGCTGACACCCTGCAGCAGCAGCAGCAGCAGGAACAGCAGCAGCAGCAGCAGCAAAAGCAGCAGCAGCAACAGCAGGAACAGCAGCAGCAGCAGCAGCAAAAGCAGCAGCAGCAACAGCAAAAGCAAAATCGATGATCATGCTTTTCGAGTGTCACTATAAACAGCGTCGCTAGCTCTTCTCCTGACGTGGGAGTAGCAGCAGCAGCAGCAACAGCAGCAGCAGCAGCAACAGCAGCAGCAGCAGTATCATCATCAGCAGCAGCAGCAGCAGCAAACGCTGCACTGAACACACTCGCTGCCTGAGGAAGACATTTGTTGCTGCTCCGTGAGAAAGAGAGAAACCAGCCACAGATACAGCAGAAGACGCAGCACCCCTGCACAGACACCGCAACACAGTATATAACGAGCGCAGCTGCAGCAGCAGCTGCAGCATACCTGCAGCAGCAGCTGCAGCAGAACTACAGCAGCAGCAGCAGCAGCAGGTATGCGGAAGCTGGTGATTGAAGTTGCTGCTGTTTCTGTTTCTGTCTCTCTTTCTGTCTCCGTCTCTCTCTGCGGTTGCAGTGTCTCTGCTGCTGTCTCGTTGCTGCTGCTGCTGTCTCGTTGCTGCTGCTGCTGTCTCCTTGCTGCTGCTGCTGTCTCGTTGCTGCTGCTGCTGCTGCATCCATGTTGTGTCTCTCACGCCACGCTGCTTCTCCTCTGTGATGGCTCTTGCTGCGCTGCTGTCTCCTCCTGCAGCTGCAGCACTTTCCCTTCCGGCTGCAGCAGCAAAGACAGCGGCAGCAGCCGCTGCCCTGCTGCAGTCACCACCTGCAGCAGCAAACCACACGCAGAGTTTCAGCCCTCACGCAACGAAGTAGCAGCAGCAGCAGCTACTGCTGTTTAGTTTGCATCTGTTGCTGCTGCTCCTGGCGCTCTTGCTGCTGCGCCTGCTGCTGCTGCTGCGGTTGCTGCTGCAGTTGCTGCGCCAGCTGCTGCTGTTTCTGCTGCTGCTGCAGTAGTAAGACACTCACGCAGCAGACTCTTGTCTCCAGCTGCGTCCCCAGATCTCGGGCTCGCTGCAGCACAGATGCTGCGCTGGTCACCGCCTGCAGCAAGCATCCAAACTGCAGCAGCAGCAGCAGCAGCAGCAGCAGCAAACGCAGCAGCAGCACCAGAAGCATGAAGAGCTGTTGCTTCTTTGAGAGGAGATATCTATTGTGTGTCTCCTCCGGCTGCTGCTGTTTGCTGCCCCTGCCTCTGCCGCAACAGTCTGTTTCTGTCTCTTTCTCTGTTTGTTTCTGTCTCTGTTTGTCTCTTTCTCCTTGCTGCTGTCTCCTTGCTGCTGTCTCCCTGCTGCTGTCTCCCTGGCCTACCCATTCCGGTGAGAGTTCGGAGAGAGCTGCTTCCTCTTGTGCTGCAGCAGCA